AAAAAATAATTTTTCAATGAAAAATAATAATTTCAATAATTGAAAAATAATTAAATTATATAAATACGTTTTTATCTAGTAAATTCAAGAGAAATTGAGTGAAATAATATATATAAAAATAAGAATGGGATATATATATATATATAATATATATTCTTGATGGCTTTTAATTGAAGGATGTGAATATAGAACGGAAGTTGCCAGAGGCAACCCTTTTATAGATGAGATGGGGTTGGTGAGGGGTGGGGAGGGGTAGTCTTTATAATAAGAGAGGAGATTCACCACCCACTCCGCGGTAGGGGTTCGTTGGACAAGTCGGTCGCTATGGTAACGGGATGATAAAAAAGTGGGGATGGGAAGTAAAAGCGGGGGTTGATTTCTTCATAACGGCCGCCATTATCGCACCCCCAACCGTGCTTCTCTCCCTCTCTTTCTCTCATTATGTCCGCCGGTCGAAGAGAATATTCTTGTTTTAAAAATACTCTCGCTCTTCCTTTTAATGGCGCCATTTGTAATTGGAAAAAAGTCTCAAGCACGTATTGAAACTGTTTTCCACTCTTCTTTTTCCATACCTTTTACCCTCCCTCCTTTTTTTTTGCTTCTTACACCAACTCCACACAATCAATCAACTTTATGCCACTTTCATAAAAATCGATACAGTATCTTTATTGTAATTAATTTTCTCTACTTTTCTTTTCTTACCGAACAGTAGTTATATGGAAAAAAAATTCTTCTCCAAGGGGAATCGAACCCGATCTATGAAATTACAAATTGGGACATATAACCACAAATCTAATATCAACTATACTTAGAGAAATAGATGATAATATTATAAATAGAAGAGTAGTAAAAATAAATTTAATATTAATTTATTAATATTGATGTTTGCGATGGACCAGAGGAAGTTTTGTTTTTAACAAGATGAAACGGTAGATTCGCGTCGATGGTCATGAGAAAATCTAAATTGCAGAACACTATTTTATTATTATTCATACAGTCGTAGACATTCAACAGTATAACCCGCCTCGTAGAAGAAACGTGGTTTCCATATCGGCGATTCGGTTGCATATGGGGGAGGGTGGTGGGTTTTTAAAAATTGATGCGAGGGCGGCTCACAGCCACGCAAACTAGATTCCAAAGGCTCATCTGGTATTCATGGTGAGCCGAAGAAGGAACCAGAAAAAAAGAGAGAGAGAGAGGGAGAGAGAAAGAGAGAGAGAGAATCGGTACATACGGATATATCCACTTGTATGATTACAATATATTACACGATCGACAGGATTGCCTTTATTCTTGCATCGATCAGTGCTACATGCATACGCAACTTTATGCTTACTTATAAATGTTATGTATAGTCCCTATTTTTTCCCACGATAACTCAATATATTATTTAACAAACAAAAAATATTATCATCATTTCATTTATCTCTAAAAAGATTATAATTAATTAATTTTGTATTTATTTCAAGAATTTAATTTAGGAATTTTTAAAAATGGATCTAATATAAATATTGTAAACTAAATTAATTTAATTAATGAAAATTTGGAAAATTAAATTTAGACTTAAAATTAGTATATGGGATTAAAAGAAAATAATTTATATATTATCGGCAAAGAGTTAACTATTCATGTGGAAAGTGTGAAATTATTCATGATCTAGTATGAGGAAATTTAGCAAAATTTCCAAAAATTCTCTTTTTTCTGTTCATTTTTTAAGAATATACTTTGTTTAAAGTAATTCTTCCAATATGGAACAGTATAAATTTATTCATGATCTAGTATGAGGAAATTTTACAAAAAAATTTCCAAAAATATTTTTCCTTCTGTTCCATTACTGTGTGGCTCCTTTAGTTGGAATAAGTAATAATTCTCCTATATCGAAATTTGTGATCCTGGTGACATTTCTATAGCAACTAATCTGAAACAAAAAATACCTTAAATTAAATAAAAAAATTAATAATAATTAATAACAAAATTTTTTAAAAATACTTTTATTTCGGTTCCATTCTGAAGAATACTTTGTTGGAAATAATTATTTCAACTAGGAGCATATAAATTTATTCATGATCTAGTATGAGGAAATTTAGTAAAATTTCCAAAAATATTCTTTCTCTTTAACGCCTCCTTACTATGCCAATTTATTGAAAGTAAAAGTTCCTTTTGAAACTAGCGTTCCTGGCGGAAAAATCTTGCAACACTTTTCACTTCTATCAGACAACATATTATTTATATTATTCTCTTTCAAGAATAAAGCCTCCAAACTAGAATTTTTGCAGCTTCCATAAACAAACTCTATGAACTGAAACTTAAAACAAAATTAGTTTAATCTTGATTAATTGCAAATAATATAAAATAGAAATTTATTAACACATTTTTTTCTTATTAAAAATTATTTCATATATGAAAAAGTATAGTGTGCCCTTCATTTGCCTCGTTCAATTTATTTACATTTCTTTTTGAAATAAAAAAAATAAGAATAAGCAGCGAGTAATTCGCCGCGGCAAAATGAGATCGTAATCATGAAATAATGATGAACCAGCAACGTTCATCGTTTATTTTACCTGTATATATATATATATATATATATATGTTCGCAAGTGCACCTGTGAACGTTCCCCACATTCCCCGGGTATATACGCGCGCAGTTTACGTCATGCTTTTTAACTCGTCTTAATGGAAACAACGTTTCCAATTAGGGTACTCCACTCTATTTGCCTTTAATGTCCCGGAAAATTTTACCGCTTGTTTCTCTAATTCAAAAATGATTAAGATTCCATCTCATCTTTCACATGTATATAAATCTGATCAATAAAATGCTAATTTTTTTTTCTTCTTTGCTAATTTTTTTCTGATATAATAATTCACACTCAAACCAAGAGAGAACTACTCCCCTTTTGCAAATAAATCTTGTATATGGGTTTTAAAGATATATAGGAGAGTCATAATAGAAAAAGTAACTATATTGAAAAAACAAATTTTTGTATTATTACGTTACTTTTTGCAAGTATATATATTGAGGACTCTTCGTTTTCGATATTGAGCGTGTGGACCATAAGTTTGGTTCAATATATTATAAATAACGTTTCTGAAAACGTGCTGTGGTTTACCACTCAACAAGAACTGACCTTTATGAATACTAAGAAGGTTTTGTGGGTATATATAGCACGCGATTCGCGGTTGTCGGAAAATCGGAGCGTGTCAATAATTAATTCACAACTTTGGCTGTTCTTCAATTTCTAGAAATTATTATGTCATATAATATACTGATATTAAAAATTCAACATAGCGGAGCATATATATATATAGAAAGTAGCTTCACAATGATCAAATATAAATGATGAGAAATTTTCTATTATCAAAATGCTAATAATTGTGCCAATTAAAAGTTAATCAATTTAGACAGTTATACTCCGTGGGATATTAATTTCTTAAGTGGAAACAATATTTCATTCTAAGAGAGAAAAAGATAAAGAAAGAGAGGTGTATAAAAAAAAAAGTCGAGAGAGAATGAAAAGGCAAACAGGTTTTAATGAGATTTTAATCTAGGCTTCTTTATAAAGCATCGCATAATTTGAATTACTTATCATAACTGGTAAGCTAATGTTTGAAATTTGCGTGTATGCATAATTTTAACTATATCAAGTTCACTGAGTCCATCCGGAATATCCTGGACCGGAAGTGGGAGGGGTTTGGTCTTTACCTACACGTACGTTTATATATATATAGATATATATAGATATAGATATATCAACTATCAGCGTGTCACGATGAGCTTTACCTGCCGCACATTGGCCCATTTCCGCGATTCCTCATCGTTTTTGTACCTAATAGCAGATGTACATGCGAACGCGCCCTAATGTACTGTTCGCGGTTCGACGCACCGTGACCAATGCCGCATTTTCGACGCACAAGGCGTGCAGATACACGTAATATTATTGCCATCGAAAAAAAGAAAAACAACAAACTATAATCTCGTTTTGAATACCTCTAATTTCATTGTCTCATAAAGCTAATTTGAAAAAATTTTAATGATTCTGTCCCGCATTCAAATTCATTTATAAATATTATACCCGTATTTTGTATAAGGAATTAGAAAATTGCACCCACAATTCAGCAATATTGACTGTATATAACAATAATGTATATACACCACAATATCTCCAAACCTTGACGAATATTGATCTTCTTTTTTTTTGTGGTTTTATAATACATCCCATATATCTAATCTGCGGGTCAATTGAATTAAAAGTTTTATTTATATATAAATTATTAAAATAGATAATAGACCATAAATTGACCTTCTATTAACCACAACTGTAAATAAAAATGATATATTTTTTTCAATTTTTTAATTCCCACATCAATGTCAAAAAAAAAGAAGAACAATCGACTGCGAAGATTATATATAAAAATGATATTTTATGAGGTATCAAAATATATACTGGTAGGTCCCATAAAAAAGTCGTATTGAAATGTTTTTTTTTTTTCGAGGTGGCGACGAAGGAGAGCTATGGAGATTATCTGAATACAGTCGTTTCATAGTGAGTTGCGACCCCCCAGGGGGTAATAGCTGGTCTCCCCTAACGTTGGCCAATGACGTATGGTGGTCATCTTTTCCCTGAATTACCACCATCTCCTTTCCACTTTCGTTCCAAGGGCCTTCATCCCCCACCCGAAATAGATTATTTGAATATCGAGTACCCTATTTTTCCAACAAATTCGGCGAAAGACCCTTTTTTTCAGAGGGAAACTTTTTTTCATTCACTAGACAATCGAGTGTACCATGTGTCACACTGATTGGTCCTGTTTTAACATAATTCCACTCTCGCTCTCTTGATTGATTTGGTTCTCTCTCTCTCTCTTTTTCTCAATTTAGGGATCGAATTTCACACACAATTCATTCATTTTTCTATTCAAATATTATGAATTGAAATTAAAGAACATATTCTATAGAAAAATTTAGTAAATTAATTGAAATAAATTTTTTTTTTTTGTTACAGCGAGCGATGCGCTTGGTCGAATCGACAAGGAACCAGCATCTCCGGAATCTATACAAGGTAAGAGAAAAAAAAATTGTTTACTTCCAATATATATATATATATATATATATATATATATATATATATATGTTCTTGAAAATACAATTTTAAAACTGCTCAATAATATTTCTTAAGTGCAGAATCTCGGCCAAGGAAAAATTGTTTTCCAAGAAAAAAAATAGTAACAACGTCGCGCTAATTGTTTCCTCATTCATATATCGTTATCATTTTTCATTCCTTAGAGTTAATATATTTCTCGATAATAATAATTGTAATATACGAAATTTCTAGATTAAAATTTTTTTTACTTCAAAAGATAATGGAACCTTTCTATAATTTTCAAAAACGAAAATCTCATTTTAGAAAATAATATATATTCTAGGATTTATGATTTAACTCGCAAGCTATTTTTGGGGTCTAATTTTTTTCCAAGTAAAGTATGTCATAAAGCCAATTATATAGTTGCTATTGTGTGAGTCTCATATTCGACTGGTTTGTCATTTGTTTTTAAGAACCCCTATGGCCAAAGTATTATAACCGCCCTTTTAACTCAAAATTTGTTGTTGTTGTGGGGGGAGAAAGAAAGCATTATATGTATCTTCTTGGATCTCTCTTGCCGATGGTGTATCCTTCAATGGATCGTAAAAACGTTTTCGTTTTCAAAGTCACAACCGGACGACGACGAAGAAACGGGGCCCCTTAATAATAATCGAGCAACAATTTACAAAAGCGCCCGAGGTTTCGCTATACGGCTGGCTTTTCAACCCCCTTTGCTCTGCTCTTTCTTTCCGTTTCTGCGCGCCACAATTTGCCTGAGTTTCTCGTATTCGGTTCATTTTTTTTTTTTTTATTTCGCGGCTAGAAATTCGGCGCCAGTTCCAAAAGTGCAATTGCGGCTCGTCGAAAATTTTGTTGGGGTTACCGGAGATCTCTCGCTTGCGAACACGTGACACAGACAAAAAACGAACGAGATTTTTTTTTTATTTTAAAAACAACCCAGGAAGACGCGTGGGAAACTTCCACCTGCTTTTTGTATATATATAGAAACATTATTTCCGAAAGGACGCGAAATTACAAAAATCTTTTATACCTTCAAAAAGGCGAAACAATTAACATTAACATATTGAGACCGATTTTTTCTAAATTTAGAATTGTAAAAAGAGGAAAATAAAATATTTATTGAAAAGATGTAAGTGATACACCGATGAGAAAAAAACTATTCCCCGAACTTTTTGAAAACAACGGAATTTAAATTTGATTAAAACATTTCTACTTTGATAATGTGTGAAATTATTCATGATCTAGTATGAGGAAATTTAGCAAAATTTCCAAAAATTCTCTTTTTTCTGTTCATTTTTTAAGAATACTTTGTTTAAAATAATTCTTCCAATATGGAACAATATTATTCATGATCTAGTATGAGGAAATTTTGACAAAAAATTTCCAAAAACATTCTTTTTTTTCTTCCATTTCTTCGACTCCTTGGTTGTAATAAATAATGGTTTCGTCGAAAATGCCGATTAACACATTTCCATAGTAACTGATCTGAAACAAAAAATAAATTTAATGGAAGAACAAAATTAATATGAATAATAACAACAAAAATAATAATTAATAACAAAATTTCAAAAACTTCTCTTTTTTCCTTCTATTTCATTCCTGTGTGGCTTCTTGGTTGGAATAAGTAATAATACTTCTATCAAAATTGGTGATCCTCGCGACAATTCCATTGCATCTTATATGAAACACTAAAAAAGTTTAATGTAAATAAATAATTTTTGTTTAATTTATGTTTAGAAATAACTTAGTGTATAACTTTTGAGAAGCATTTTCTATTCGAAATTTATTCATTAATCACTACATTGTAAATATAAACATAGTAAAATACAAAAAATTAAATTTATGATTTGATTCCTATAATTTTCCTTCCACGAGAAATTTATCAATAGATTGAAAAAGAAACATGCTGTCTCTGTTCCTTAAAATGACGGTTGACACACGTACACGTTGCGGTGTATATTTCCCATCCAATATTCTAGTTTACGAGGGTAGTACATGTCTTCTCGAAAGAAAAAGGGACAATTCCAATATACCTTTATATATATATATGACTGTAACTTCTTCATATCCCGCATGTTTGCAACTTAAATTTTTAATATCTTTCAAAACAATCTCAAACGATGAACTAATAATTAGAACAAGAATCTATTCTATAAATATTTTCATTAACTCATAACATCTTTATAAAAAAAATTAATTGACAGTTCGTTTCTCGTTCAAAAAAAAAAAAGAAAAAAAAAATACCGAAGCCAATTTTATATAGCGAATCACGAATCAGTTGCGACACACAAAAGAAGCATCATTTTATTGCAGGAATGCGCATCGGTTCTTATTGAAAAAAATCGGTGCACCCTTTCCCGAGTTTCGAGGACCCATTTGAAATTCCGCGAGTCCTGCTTCAGTCGGAGAGGGCAATGCCAAAGGAAAGAATGATCTTAGGCAAAAAAATTGCCTCTCGTCTCTTGGAAATCTCTTCGAACCGGTCGTATAACCAAAGGGACTTAAGGCATTTTGCCAATGAGTTCTTCGGTTTATCTGCCTACCAACCTGATGGCACAACGAAATAAAATGGGGGAAACATGAGAGACAGAGAGACAACGACTCTCTCTCATCTCTTTTTAAAATAAAAGAAAAAGAAAGGAAATATAATAAAAGAAGAGACAGAAAGTGGTCATTGCCAACCTGTGTTTTACTTTATAGCATTTAGTCCGTTGTTTGTCTTATTGCTATTAGCCTGCGAGTCAATTAGTAATTTTATTTTTAATGTGGATTCCCTGAATCGAAGAAGCGAGAACTACCGACTTATACCTCTCTCAACTGAGCTGCTAACGGCGATATTGTATAAAGTCGGGGAAAAGAAAGAGAAAGAAAAGTGGTGGTAAAAGAGGGCCTCATGCGGACTGTTCCAGTAGTTGATGGAAGGGGCCCCCAAGTCAAGAAAAGTGGGGGGAGCATGTCATTAGGAGTCATTAATATCGCGGACCTCTGTAATTTGACACACTTCCGATCTTCGTCTAGCGCCACCACCCGCTCCATTTCTCTTATTCTACAATTGCCTAGTGAAATACCGCACTCTGGACTATACACAATATTGTCATTTTCGATATAATCGAAAAATGCACTTTTTTTTTTGTATTATTTTAGTTCCTTCAATGAGGAATAGATTTTTTATTCATGATCTAGTATGAGGAAATTTTATACAAAAAATTTCCAAAAACATTCTTTTTTTTGTTTTATTTCTTCGGCTCCTTTGGAATAAGTAATGGTATAACTTATCTGAAACATAAAAAATACATTTTAAATAATTATTTATACTAATTGGGAAAATAAAAATTTTTTTTCTGGAAAAATCGAATACATCTTTAAATCATCAAGTTCTTTTGTAAAATATGTCTATATATATTCATATGAAGATTTTCGCGATGGTAAAAAAATATTTTCAATTTGCGAGTCTTAATGATGATGATTTACGATAGTGATTTTATTATTCACGATCATTCATTAATTCACTTCCTGGAATGGATATAGAGGCGGACTCACATGATAAAAGTGCAGGGCAAATTTAATGTTGGAAAGAGAGTTCACCTTGCAAGTATATGTGTATGGCGATAATCGCTTGTTTATTTATGCCACTTACGTACAGCACACCTGTTTCACCAATAAGGCTTGACTTGGGATTCCTTCGTCCTGTGCACTCTCTCGCGCGAGGAGAAAGATTTCTCGAAACGGAAACGAGAATCGCGCTTAATTTCCTTGTATATATATATACCCCGCAAAAGCTGCTCATCGTCAATCCGTTAACTTTTCACTTCCTTGCACACGTTTCACCCCATTGGATTTCAATGAGAAAATTATTTCTCACTTTTTTTAAATAGAAAATTGAAAAAAAGACAAAAGACATTTTTTTTTAGAGATGAAATTTAATTTGGTTAAGTTGGTTTTTTTTTGTATATATAGGCGCAAAAGGACAAAGGAATCATAAAAACACATTTCCCCCCGAGCAATTTGCAATTCGTTGCTTCATAAAGAGAAAAAGAGACTGTGCGCGCGGATAATATTTGTCATGGTTTCTTGGAAGTCTATATCCATGATGCGCTATATAAATGTTGCGATTCAGGACGAAAATTATATTGTAGAATTGAGAGCAATGCGAGAGTGCGAGCGGTTTATGGAATGCAAAGGACCATATGATTCTCATGAGAGACTTTGTTATTCAAATTTTTTGTTTTCTCTCTCTTTTCAATTCGGTAAAAAAAAAAACGTTTTTTCTCGCCTCTTTGAAAAGGACCGCGCGTATATATATATATATCGTCCCTTATATGTGTCCGGAAAAGCAAATTCAAATCTCTTGCTTGCTTCATGGATCACGGTTTCCCTATGATCAGATTTTTATCGCCAATATAACTTGAGGGAATAAAAATTTCCATTTGAATAACGATTTTTTTTTCTCGAGAATTATTCAATGTTTACCAGGTTCTGAATATATATATATATATATTTTTTTTTCCCCGAAGTAATGTAGGAAATATGTAATTTTACATTACAAAATTAAATTTTACAAGAATGCAGTAAAAAGGGTTCAATATTTTTACAGCGCAAATAATAATTTTTGACGATAATAAATTAATGTATATATATATAAATTTTATGTTGATTATTTGAAATTGCATCCTGGAAGTGTGTCAAGATAAAATGGGGTTCGGAGGAGGAGGAGGCGAATGTAAAGAGTATAAAGCCGCTAATCGCGTAAGTGGAAATGAAAACGAGTAGATCTTTCCTGGAATAAAGGAACCGTCGGACATGCGGATTGACTTTGAAGGGAATGGCGCAAAGAGTAAAGAGAGAGAAAGAGATCAGTGATCCGTATATATATATATATATACGAGAAACCGCTCACATTAGTAAGAAAGAGAGAGTTCCAAGATGTTTTCCTTCCTGACACTTTGTTCTCACGATTC